CCAGAGCCTGAGTCAATTGTTCGACGCATGATTCAAAGACTCGAAACGGCTCCTACCGTCCCGAGGAAGTCTATTTATATTACAGGTCCACCATTTTCGAAAGGAGCAGCTGGCAGCGTGATGCCGACATCTCCGAAAGAAGCGGCGAATAGCGAGAAGTCATCTACCTTAAAAGGAGCGACAAATAGCGAGAAGTCGGCTACCCCAAAAGGAGCAGCTAATAGCGAGAGTCCAACATCTCCGAAAGAAGCAGCCGATCGCGGGAATCCAACATCTTTGAAAGGAGCTGCTGGTAGCGGGAGTCCAACATCCCGAAAAGGAAACGCTAACACCGGAGGCTCGTCACCGACATCGCCGTCGTCTAACATGTGGAAGGTCGCGCCAGAATGGTCACGCATCTATACAGGCATGCCGGCTATGACAACAAGCGCGACAACTATAGAGGACCAGCTTGCAAGCATCACTAAGGCGCTGGAAGGGATCACCACCCTCCTTCAAAACCAAGAAAAGAGAATCAACGACTTAGCTGAAAAGGTCGAGAGCACATGGAATGGTGAAACTAGTCGGGCTCCTGGGAAACAACCTGAGGCAAGGAGAAGATGCCTCGCACTCACCAACTTTCATTGGGCGAACTACAGTGCACGAGGAATCAACTTCGCACATACCAAGTTCGGACAGAAGCGTTCCAGTCACAGGGGGCATGATACCAGTAGAACGGCTTGACGAGTTCATCATGGGAGCTATCAAAGGAAAGATTGAGGAGGGAAAACCTTCATACACTTACACCAAGCCTTACACCCAAAGGATAGAGGATTTGAAGATGCCCATTGGATATCAACCTCCATCATTTCAACAATTCGATGGGAAAGGCAATCCAAGACAACATCGCCCACTTCGTGGAAACGTGCAACGATGCTGGGACGTATGGTGATCTTCTTGTCAAGCAGTTCGTCCGCTCTTTGAAGGGTGCTGCCTTCAATTGCTACACTGACTTGGAGCCTAGCTGCATTGATAGCTGGCAGGACATGGAGCGCGAGTTCTTGACCCGCTTCTATAGCACAAGAAAAACCGTTAGCTTCTTAGAACTCACCACCACTTGCCAAAGGAATGGTGAAAGCTCGACTGCTTACATTGAAAGATGGAGGGAGTTATGCTTGAATTGCAAGGAAAAGATATCACAGAGCTCCGCGATTGAAATGTGCATCCAAGGCATGCACTTCGAGCTCTCCTACATCCTCCAAGGGCTCAAGCCTAAGACTTTGGAGGAATTATCTAGTCGCGCCCACGATATGGAGTTAAGCATAACAGCTAATGGTGGACAGAACATACCCATTCAAAGCTTCTACAATGGGGGCAAGAGTCATGATGACGTTGAAAATGGCGGCAAGGCCTTTAAGAAATATGAAAGCATGGACGCTATGCATGTGAATATTCAACCAGCTAGGATATTCACTGAAGCTACCGGTGAGTCTAAGGATGATTCTAGATCATTACGGGGTAGTAGAAGGCTTTCTTTTAGGGAAAGACAAAACAAGCAGTATCCATTCTTGGATTCTGATGTTCCACATATGTTTGATGAGCTATTGAAACACAATCTCGTTGATTTGCCATAAATGAGGCGACCACACGAGGCATCAATAGTGGATCATCCGAGTTATTGCAAGTTTCATAGACTTGTCGGACATCCAATTGAAAATTGCTTTGTCTTTAAGGATAAAGTAATGGAGTTAGCTCGAGATGGGAGAATTGAACTTGCAAATGCCACAGCAAGCGCTAATCAAGTTTCCATCTCATGCGGTAAATTTACTTCGCTACTCATTAAAAGGAACAATGTGAAGATGAAAGGGAAACGACACAAGTGTATATTTCCTCTTAACATCAAGTCTTATGATACCAAACCCGAGTATGGTACTCGACTTGGTATTAAGCATGCTAAGCAACACCACGTTTGTGCTGCAACACGACCGCCTATAAGCTATGAAAAGGTGGGTTAAGAAGAAAATGTTAAAGGGCCCTATAGATGGGAGGACTTGCAGCCACCATATAAAAGCACGAGTTCCAGTCACACTGGCGGATTACGTGCCGAAGTGGTTCCATATTACTCCAACTAACCAAGGAGTGAAGACGAAAATTCCTCTAATCAACCCATATGCTAGAGAAGAATGTGCCTCAACACATTATACCACAATATGTGATAAAAGGAAATATTCTTCAAGCTTCCTCAATGTGAATTGAAAACGCATCATATTCAAGACTCCCCGACACGAGTCGAAACTACCACATATTCCTTCAAGACTTCCCGTCACGAGTTGAAACTGCCTCATATTACTTCAAGGCTCCCCGGCACGAGTCGAAATTGCCTCATACCCCACAAGGCTCCTTGGCACGAGTTGAAATGGCCTTATAGTTTCGAGACTTCCATGCAACATACTTTCAAGCAGTGTATGCTCTCAAGTGGCATGTCCAAGAAAGTCTCGAGGGGGCAATTTGTAGACACAGAAAATTTGAAGGCGACAAGTGGACCAATTAAATCATTATCGAGCCCAATTTCAGAATTGATTATTAGTCCAATTTAATTAATTGGGCTATGATAATTAAATTAATTTAATTAGTCTAAGTAAATTTGATTTGGGCTATTGAATTAATTAATTAATTGGTCCAAGCCCAATTCATAATTGAATTATAATTTAAATATAATATGATTTTATTACATTTGAATTAGATAATTATAATTTAATTTGAATTTGAATTAGATGATAGAATAATGAACCTAGACTTGATTTTGGCAAGGTTCATTTTAGTAGATAATTAGTTAATTTAATATAATAAAAATTAGTGGAGTTTGTTGAGGGATTTTAGTTACAAACTTCATTATAAATAGAGCCTCAATTTCATTTTTTAAATCACACCTCAAATACATTGAAAACAACTTGAAGGCTTGAGAGCTTGGAGGCATTGAAGAACGCTTGAAGACTTGAATGCTTGAAGATTTGAGAGCTCTTTTGAAGACATTTGAAGATCTTGAAGAATTAAAGGCATTGAAGGCATTTTTTGCAGGTTTTAAAGATCTTGAAGCAACTTGAAGTCTTTTTGCAGGTTTTGAAGATCTTGGAGCCTTTTGAAGGCAACTTGAAGCCATTGCAGGGGCTTTAATTTGATGTTTTGTAGAGTTGATTGCTTCGAAACTTGACGTTTGCTGTTGAAGATCACGCCACTTGAACCCCGGAAGCTACGCCATTTGAATCCCGGAGGCACGCGCCAATTGAATCCCGGAGGCTACGCTACTTGAATCCCGGAGGCACTTCAGTAGATTTGGAGCTTGGTAGAATTGATTGTCTCGAAGGTCTTGAAGTCTTTTGAAGGCATTTGAGGATCTTAAGACAACTTGAATCCATTGCATGTGTTTTGAAACTTTGCAGGGTTGATTGTTTCTAAATTCTTGACGTTTGCTGTTGAAGATCACGGCACTTGAACCCCGAAAGCTACGCCATTTGAATCCCGAAGGCACGCGCCAATTGAATTCCGGAGGCTACGATACTTGAATTCCGGAGGCACTTCAGTAGATAATGTTAGTGAAAAATCAGAGGACTAGACAGAGATTGTGTACCTGCATATTGAATTATACATACACTGTAAATAGATTTTGTGAATATATACAATTTCAATATTTTTTTTGTGTTTACACTCATGTACTTTGCAATAGACGTCCCCTCATACGTCCTTTTAATAACCACAGTAAAGAATGAGGTTACAGAAAAAATTATAACTTTGCTTCTCATATATATATATATATATATATATATATATATATATATATATATATATATATATATATATATAATCGCACTCACATGCAAATGCTTCGCCCAGGCGCGAAATAGGAATGGATTCTGTCCATCTACGTGTCCAGATCTAATGGATGAGAAACACTGATTTTTTTTAAAAAGCGCGGTGGCATTTTCATAAATAATTGAACATTGAAATGCAAGTAAAATGTATTACAAGTGCATGTAAAATGTATTATAGGTGCAAGTAAAAATTTACACTGATCATCAATACTAAGTGCACCTATAATTATAAGTAGTTGCACCTATAGTTCTAAGTAGTTGCACAAATCGTTATAAGTAGTTGCACCTAGGTGTATGAATGTTTGCGGGTGGTTTTTAGGGGTATTTCTACCCGCTGAACTCAGATCAATGAATGTTAACAAGGTAAATTTTGGACGCGTTGAGTCTTCTGGGCTCCAAACTTGTCTATTTTAGCTCCAAACTCGCCCTAGAACTTCCCTTGTTCAAAGAGTTGACCTACAATGGTTCCAAAAGACTAACAAACACCGTAAAACATCCAAAACGAGTGCGAATCATAAATAAATAATAAAATAAAGGATTATGCAATTAAATTACCAAAACTATGAACTTAAGCTTATCAAATATAATTAAATCAATATTAAAAATGTGCACAATTGGGTGCACATCAATCTACTCCTGCAGATTTTCTCCTTACTCAAACCTATGCCCAAGCAAACCTCATCCCATACATTTACTCCTCCAAACTTCAACTCAAACAAAACCATAGCCCAAGGTTTTAAACCTCTACCCATTTCCACATTTTGAATTTAATATTTACACATCTTTCTATAATCAACTACTTTTATCAATTAGTCAAATCCACTAACTCAATCGGCTAACAACTATCAGCTAATAATTATTTACCAAACACTCCCAATATACCAATGCAATGCAGTGACTTGTAACAAAAATTCCCACATAATTAGCAGTCAAAAGAGATTCAACAAAACAGAAATCAAGCTTGCAAATGCCTCAGAAAGCTTTACTGCAGTTACACAAATTAAAGCATCTAGAGTTGGAGTGAATTTGGTGGCATTCTTCAAGCAATCAAGCTTGCAAATGCCTCAGCTCAAGCCTAATAAGTAGTCGAAGCAAATGCATAATATTCTTCTGATCTGCCTCAATATCAGTGATAGAACTAAAACTATTTGAGACAAATTAATTTGTTTCCAAATAGAAGTACCTGCATTGATTACAAATTACAGTATGGAACATTCTTTTGAATACTATGAGATCAAAATGATGAAGAAGACGCAGAAGATTCATGCATTGGAGACAAAGGTAGTGCCAATAATGTTTCAGTATCATTTTCTGACCCCAAAGGAGAACACATGAAAGGTTTGGGTGGAATTTCCAGATCCTCTAAGCTGCATTCTAACATTTCTATAACTTTGCTCATTGATGGTCTTTGTGATGGATCTGTTTGTATGCACCAAAGACCTATTAATGTCATCTTCTTTGCAGTTTCTTCTTCTTCTTCGCTTGTAACCTCCGGCAACTTAAGATCTTCGTCGAGAAGAAGACGTTGATATGCCCACCGGGCAAAATATACCTCGTTGGAGTTCTTTGCTTCGCCACACGGTTTCTTTCTTCCACCAACCATTTCCAGAACCATCATTCCATAGCTGTAGACATCTGACTTGTACGAGACGCCCCCAAAGCATCTGCTGAAGACTTCGGGTGCAATGTAGCCAATTGTTCCTCGAGTTCCTGCCATTGATATGTTGCTCTTTTTCATAGTGCACAACTTTGCCAAGCCGAAGTCAGATATCTTGGGATTGAAGCTGTCATCGAGTAGAATGTTGTGAGGCTTTATGTCGAAATGAAGGATTTGAGTGTTGCACCTACAATGCAAATACTCTAGACCTCGAGCAGTCCCTAGTGCAATTTGGTAGAATTGTTCCCAACTCAAACGACTTTCACCATATATGTATTTTTCAAGCGATCCATTTGCCATGAACTCGTAAACAAGGGCCCTTTTATTACCATCGAGGCAGAACCCCAAAAGAGTAACAACATTAACATGGGATGTTTGACTAATACTTGCAACCTCGTTGATAAATTCTTCACCATCTCCTCCATCATAAACATTTAGAATCTTGACGGCAATAGGGCGACCATTAGCCGATAATTTTCCTTTATAAACACCTCCATATCCTCCTTGACCAAGTTTATCCTTGAATGATTGTGTCATTTTCTTTATTTCTGAAAATTTGTATCTCTTGGGGGCCAAAGATCCATATTGCCTAATGAGGGCCTCAAAATTTTTTTGTTCCTTTATTTTTCTGTTTTCACGGAACCTGTATACATAGTAGCAAATTACAGTAGCAAAGACTGCCATTGCAGATGCTGTAATACCTGCAACACAAATGCCCCCTCATATGAGAAAAAGACAAGATTGATTATTACCTAGTTGAAAACAAGTTTTGCAAGCTAAGGGCAACAAGTTGAAAACAAGATTTTCACATACATACCTAAAGCCAGCTTCATTCCATATCTTTTCCCTAATTGATTTGAATTGAATAAATCATTTATGACAAAAACTTGGAACAAATTAAAACACAGCAAATACAAATTTTGATCCTACGACTATTAGCAAAATGACAGTTTTGGTTCACATATTTAATTACTACCAATTTTCATTCATGACTTCTGTGTCAAAATTGAACACGCCGGTCACTCCTCAAGCTAAAACATGCTGAATTGTGTAATTTGTAAAGGTATTTTTGTCCATTCATACATAATAATGGAGTACAAAGGCCTTCGACATATTTTGGATGGGAGTACGGATGTCAATCTTAGACCTAAATCAACGGACTGACCCAATAAGTCTTGAAAATTATAGGGTTAGGATAAAAAAAAATCAATCCAATAAAAATTTGAGCTAATTGGGTTGGTCCTATAGGACTATCGGGTTGAATCGGGTTAACCCGACGAACTATTGGGTCGGATCATTGAATTATATATATATATATATATATATATATATATATATATATATATATATATATATATATACACTCACGTACACACACATTAAACATAACTTTTCAACATTATCTCATTCCAACTCGTCGACGTTGTAGGTAGATTTTTTTTTTTTTCAAAACTCATCCCATTCCAAATGTGGTCATATGGATACCAGCTCTTATTTTTGAATTTTTGTTTAGAGATTCACAGCCCGCAGTTTAGGGTTAGGATCAACCCAATCAAAAAAAAAAAAAAAAACAAAAAAAACAAAAAAAACAAAAACAAAAAACAAAAAACAAAACAAAACAAAAGACCATTTAGCCCAAACCGATAAAACCAACAACCTTGCAAGGTTAGTCCAAAACGCAACGGGCTAGCTCAATTGACATCCCTAGATTCATACATGAATGGAATTGACATATTATACGTGACTGAACGAAAATAGCCTTACAAATTACACTACACAATCTGCTGGCATGTTTTATTATGTGGGGTGACTAGCAAGATCAATTTTAGCCAAAAATAATAGTCTTGTATAAAAATTGGTACTAATAATTAAACTTGTGGACCAAGACTGTCATTTTGTTAATACTGATTGAATTAAAATCGGTATTTGCTCAATTAAAATAGCATATGAAGTGAAGGTGCCATTAAGATGTGACATACCATTATTTGTAGGACACACTGCAGGATAAGACCCCTCTCTACAAAGGCAGGTTAATTTATCTTCATTATCTGATCCGCATCTTCCACCTGAGTTTACGCAGGCTGTACAAGCTCCCATAGGGGAACTGAATTGAGCATGAAATCCCTGTTTCACTGCCTCGTGCAGTGATATTTTCCCATCCCAAAGATCATCATAGGCTCTAGGAAGCACAGGAACTCGTATACTAACATTACATCCTCTGACTTCCTGTATAAATGAATCTGTAGCATTAAAAGCCGCAACATAGTCCCCATTAGCATCAAATAAGATCGCACCAACCGTAGCTTTGTTCGAAGGCAAATGGAGTCCAGCATCTAAGCGGCAGGAACGCTGTTGTGCCGCACTACCGGAGGCGACCAACTGTGGCACATGAGCATCCTTGGCACGGTGAGGCGGGGCAGGCTAGACCTTGGCAGCATGCGGCACAGCAGTGGGTGGCGCGGCAACGGTCGGATCTCTTGCAACGGATGGGTGGGCACAACGCCAAACGTGTAAGGCAGCCATGGTTGATGCCACGACCTACTTCAGAGGGGGTAGGCATGCATCACAAACAACATCATTCATAGCCTTCCAAATATAATATAGAATAGCAGAGGTGATGAATATTTGATCAAGATATAGAATACTTAACACTTCATTAAACCAAGTATAAAAAACATTTGTGACATTAGTAGGGATTGGAAGGTGGGATTCTCTCCAAACGGCCTTAACATAATCACACACCACTAATGAGTGCATAGTGTCTTCACATGAGATGCCACACATGGCACATAAAGGATCAACATCCACCCTCTTTATAATCAAGTTCTTGGTAGTAGGGAGGATATCTCTCAAAGCCCTGCATAAAAAGGTCTTCCACTTTGGGGGACTTTTAGCTTCCATAGAGTGGTCAATTTAACAAACGTGTTTCCGGTGTGGGCATAATTTCCCACAATGATTCTATAGCCACTTTTAAGATAATAGCAACCTTTCGGGTCCCCGAACCAATACCACGAATCCTCAAATTCTGGAGCTATTGGGATTTTTAGTATAGGATCCACATCATCTGATAGGAAGAGGTCTGACAAAATCGAATGATCCCACGAACCAGATTCCTGATCAATTAAACCAAATACACTAGTGCCAGTCAACTGATGGGGCATCTCAGTCTAGATTGATGCAATTTGATCATCCAGCAACCATGGGTGCTCCCAAATAAGCGTAGATCTACCATTTCCAATACGCCGCCTAACCCCGCTACAAATTAGACCATTAGCTGCCATAATACTTCGCCAGCAAAAACTGGGGTTATTTTCCAAATGTGCTTCGAAAAAAGATGAATTAGGGTAGTACCTGGCCTTGTAAACCCGTGCAACCATAGAATCAGGTCTGTTAAGAAACCGTCACCCCTGTTTCCCTAGCATAGCTAGGTTAAAAGCCCGAAAGTCCTTGAATCCTAAACCTCCATGGCTTTTTGGGACACACAATATGTCCCAGGCTAACCATTGAATGCCACGGTTATTCCCGGGGCCCCCACCAATAACGATTCATAGTGTGTTCGATGGCTGTACAAATAGAAATAGGGAGCAAGAATACACTCATAGAAAAAATAGGCATAGCCTGAGCCACAGTCTTCAACAAAATTTATTTCCCAGCCTGTGACAAGAGGTTCTTATTCCAGGAACCCATCCTATGTCTGATATTGTCCTCAATATATGAAAAAGCAGCCTTCTTATTTCTCCCAACAAACGAGGGAAGACCCAAATACTTGCCAAAATTGAGAGCCTGAACCACCTTTAAAGTAGTGATGAACATGGTTCACTTCGAACTGAACTAGCCACTGTAGCAACCAAAATCAAAAGGTTCCGGTTATGATTCAGAACTGGAACCCAATGTTTAGGTTCGGTTTATTAAAATCGCGACCCAACAAAATTGGATCATGAACCGTGAATTGGCGGTTCGAAATCGGAACAATTATTAGCATTAGATTAAAATTAGAATTATAATATTTGCAAATTGTATATGTTCTTTTTCATATTTATACTGATTCTCACATATAAGGAGATATGATCGCGATTCAGTTCTAATTTTGAATCACCGATTCACGATTCTGGACCCAATTTGAATCGTTGGTTCAAACTTGTTTTAAAATTCTATTTTTTATTTTTAAAATAGTTTAAATTTAAAAATTAATTTATTTAATTTTTTTGGATTCGAAACCGGAACCAAAAGTTTCGATTTGTGATATTAATAAACTGAAACCAAAATACTGAGTTTCGGTTCTAATTTGTAACTGAGACCTTTCGATTTGGTTGCTACAATGTTTGGTTTGGTTTAAATCAAATCGTGGTCATTCCTACCTATAAACAATAATTTTGAAAAAAAAGCCGTTAGGGTTGGGGTTAAGCCTTTTTGGAAGAATAATTTTGAAAAAAAAAAATAAATGAAATATTTATTTTAAGGGTAAAGATGTTCATTTAACATATCATGAAAAACAATTATCATTTTTAGAATAATTGAAAAGGCTAATATAAATATATAAATAATTCAAAATAAAAAAGTATTATAAATATATAATTCAAGAGAAAAATGTCATTTTTACCTTGCAATTGCTCTGTATTTACTCCTAGTTTATCAGTCTGAATTGATTATTTAAGTATAATAACTAATAAGTCTAAATGACAACCAACATGGTTGGCGTAGTGGTTTAGCACCTCATCCCTTAAACATGAGGTTGGGGGTTCGATCCTTGCCCATGTGAATGGAGCAAATCATTTGGCCAGTCCCCTACCACTTAGTGTGCTGACTGTAGGGATGGGAATTAGTCTTCTTGCTTTCGGCTGGAGGAATATCTTTGGACAACCAAAAAAAGAAAAAGTCTAAATGACGTTTTCAAAACAAAATAAAATAAAAAAGTCTAAATGACTAAATCAACTACGTGGCCCACCCTTGCATCATTCAGTGTAGAATTCAACTATGTAGAGCTAAGACCTGGAAAAGTGGTCCCACGACGGGGGTGCTCGTGCTTCATGCTTGCGTGAGCTTTTCGGACTTATTGCCAAAGAGCCACATAATTTAAATTCTTTAAAAAAATAAATTGTATTTATATCAGGAAAACTACATCTTCAGTCCCTGAGTTATAATTAAGTTTGAACTCAATCTCTAAATTATAACAGTATTTGTGTTTAGTCTCTCAGTTATGAGTAAAGTGGTTATAATTAAGTTTGAACTCAATCTCTAAATTATAACAGTATTTGAGTTTAGTCTCTCAGTTATGAGTAAAGTGGTGAGTTTGGTCTCTAGTGTTAATATTCTGTCTACAGCTAACGGAAAATTAGTGTTAATATTCTGTCTACAGCTAACGGAAAATTTAAAAACAATTTAATAATAGAGAGGTAAAATAAGAATTTCAAATTATAATCTCCTTCTTTTGTTGAAATTCATTGCGCAACAGTCATTATTTTCTTTACCGACAATCGAAAATATTTTTCTTCCCAAGCTCTGAAATTTCAAATCCATCCACTTCCAAGCAACGAAATTCATAGGTAAGTTGTTTCTTTATTTTATATGCTTAAATAAATAATCAATATTCTCTATTTTATATCAAGAAAAAAGTAATCAATATTCTTTATGAAGTTAGCAAACACCTCCTCCAAGTTACTTTTTTCTTGCTCATAAATACGGAGAATATTGATTATTTATTTAAACATATAAAATAAAGAAACAATTTACCTATGAATTTCGCAGCTTGGAAGTGGACAAATTTGAGATTTCAGAGATTGGGGAAGAAAAAGACTTTTGTTTGTAGGTTTAAGAAAAAAAGAATGACTGTTGCGCAATGGATTTCAACATAAGAAGGAGATTATAATTTGAAATTCTTATTTTACCCCTCTATTATTAAATTGTTTTTAACTTTTCAGTTAGTTGCAGACAAAATATTAACGGTAGGTACTAAACTCGCCACTTTGCTCATAACCGAATGATTAAACTCGGATATGGCCATAACTTAGGACTGAATCGGAACTTGGTTATAACTCAGCGACTAAAGATGTAATTTTCCCTTATATTAATATAAATAAATATGGATGGATCTTAGCGCCATGCCCGTGACCTCAGCTCTAATATCAATTGATAGATCTTTTGGAAGAATTGATAGATCTTTGCATTATGCTTACTTTCTCAGGGGGGTCACCTATTTTGGGACTGTTGTAAGTTAAGTAAGTGTACATTAACCATTTAACCACATCCCTCCATGATTAACCACAACGTCATGTCTCGAATTGAGCAATGGTTGAACTCGGTCGGATCAACAAATACTATATTTATTTTTAATGTGAGGCAAATACTACTTAAAAGTCATTTCAAACACTATTTTCCAACTCAATGAATACACTTTAAAAATAAAGTTCTTATTGATCCATTATCTGTTTTAGGTATATAATATCCTCTATTATATTAAAAATCATGTAGTTTTGATAGATTTGTAATTAAATTATTGCAGGCATACCAGGACTATGTGGTCTAATGGTACCCGGGTTGGACTTTCATTTGGAAGATTATGAGTTCGAGCCTCAGTGGAGGCGTTATTGGTTCTTTGTGTTTCAGTAGGTTGAGAAAGTATATGAACAGATACTACAATGTAATAGAACCAGTAACTTTAAAAAAAAATTATTGCAGGCATTAGTGCATTTATTGTGTTTATATTATTGCAAATTAGGTAGAGATGAATTTAAAATTCTAAAGAGCAAATTACACTTTTGGTCCTGTGACTATTGGGGGTGTGTTAATTTGGGTACGTGACTTTTAAAAGTAACAATTTAATCCTTTGACTATCGTTTTTTTAGCAATTTAGGTCCTCCCGGCCAAATTGCCGGTTGAAATCGGCCGGAAAGATGTTTCAAATAAAAAAATAATATAATAGCGGGGGTAATTCCGTCTTTTTAGGTGTAAAATAATTAGCGGGAAATGCAGCGGAAGTCTGTTGGAAGTCGAAGAACAAATAGCTATGTTTTCTTTCTAAAATCCTCAACCCTAATTTCTAAAATCCTCACAGTACGAGCAAGTGATTGTGAAGTCGAGGAAGGGAATCTGTATCTACGATTGCGTCGAGGGGTTGTTCGTCTTCTGCGACTGGATTCGACTTCTCAATGCGTAAAACGTCTGCCACTGGAATGGGGTCTGGCTCAACGACGCTACAGCTAAGTAAGAAAAAATTTGTTTTACAGTTGAAATTGTACGAAGTTTATGAATTTTATGCCAAATAAAGTACTTTATTGTGGAGTAGAGCATATGTAGGGTTTGTCGTGTTGTACTTGTGTCTTGGCATAAAGCATAATATAATTTGTACTTGTGTCTTGAAATTTTGGGACCAAAATCTGGATTTTTGTGTTGTTCTTTTTTGTTCTTTTGTGTTCTGTGGGTGTGACCGATCTATGGACTTTTGTGTTATTCAATTGTGTTCTGTGGGTGGGGACCATTATGTTTATAGTTTTCTGAATATGTCATGTGCATATACTGTGATTATGTAACTTTTCCATATGACTTTATTATTCTGTGTTTTGTGGGGATCACTATTATGACTGTTGAGTGTGTGAATGGTGGCTTGACAGGAGCATGAGTTGGCCCTTTTTCAGTTTTCCTTTTCCATAATGGGATAATAAATAGGGTTGGTGAAGTTAAATACATGGGTGGTGATGTAGAAGTGTATGAAAGAATGGAAGCTAATGAAGTCTGTTTAAATGTGTTGAAGGATAGGATAAAACACTTAGGGTATAGTGAGGCAGGAACAGTACTTTATTGTTGGTGGAATGAAAGATTGAAGTTGATAAAAACAGACAATGATATAATATCCATATTGAATGAAGTCAACCCAGGTAACATGTTGGAGTTTTGGGTTGAAACACTGGATGATTTGGACTTGTTTGATGCTGACATGGTAGCAATTGAGGCAGGCAGTGATTGGGAAAATGAGATTGAGGTAGACTGTTTGGGGGTAGATCAGCAGGATGATGTAGAGTTTGGGGATGGATTAAATGCAGAACAGAAGCAGGAGGATGGGGATGGGTTAAAAATGGAGGATGGTGATAGCTTAAAACAGGAGAATAAAGTACTTTCAGTTGCTGAAAAAAAGAAGTTGAAAAACAGTTGGGATGAAATAAACTTTTCTGATGAGGACTCAATTGTGGATTCTGATAGTGATGGGGAAGGTAAATGGCCCATATTTAGAGCTGCAACAGACATGAAAGATCCTCATTTTACTTTAGGCATGACTTTTGCTTCCAAACAACAGTTTAGAGAAGCAGTTCAAAACTATGCTTTCATAAATGGCAAAGAAATCAGAACACTTAAAAATGACAAGGAAAGGGTCATAGTTAAGTGTACACAGGAGGGTTGCCCTTGGAGAATAGGCTTGAGGAAAGTAATAGGCTCATTGTCATGGAGAATTTTGAACATGATAGATGAACATGAAGGGTGTTCTTGGGTTTGGGAGAATTCTATGGTCAAATCTACTGTGGTTGCTAAGAGGTGGTCTACTCACTTAAAAGACCACCCAGATTGGATGATGAGAAAGTTCAAGGATAAGGTGTGCAGTCAAGAAGGATTTTATGTGAGTGATTCCCAAGCCTATAGGGCTATTTGGAAGTCAAAGAAGCTAAGAGAAGGTGAAGAGGAAGATAACTTCAAAAACATTTGGAGATACTATGAAGAAATTTGTAAGACAAATCCTAGGTCAAGATGTATTATCAAGACCAGTGACCTGCTAGATGGGAGTGGACAAGAAAGATTTTTGAGAATATATGTTTGCTGGGACAGTAGCAAGCAAGGCTTCAAGAACTGTAGAAAATTGATAGGGGTAGATGGCTGTCACCTTAGAAGTGCAACAGGTGGGATGCTACTGACTGCTGTGACTGTAGATGCAAATGATAGTATATTTCCACTAGCTTATGCTATTGTGGAAGGAGAGAAAAGAGAGTCCTGGACTTGGTTTCTAATGCTTCTGAAAGATGATCTGGAGATAAGCCCCAATGTGGAAGATGAATACTGTTTCATAAGTGACAAACAAAAGGGATTAATTCAAGCATTTGTGGAGGTGCTACCTGGTGTGGAGCACAGGTTTTGTATGAGACATTTGCATGCTAATATGAAGGTGGCAGGTTTCCATGGAAAGGCAATTAAGGATGCTGTATGGGCTTGTGCTAAGGCAACCACTGTAAACAAATTCAATGATGCTTTAAGAATATTAAGGAGATTAGATGAAGATGCATACCAATGGTTAGGTGATAAGAGCCCAAAAGAATGGTCTAGATCCCACTTCTCTACAAGATGCAAGTCTGACATGTTGGTAAATAACATTTGTGAGTCTTGGAATTCATCTATATTGGAGGCAAGGGACAAGCCAATCATTGACTGCTTAGAGTGGATTAGGAGGATGATCATGGGTAAATTGTTTGAGAACAGGCAGAAAGCAACTGAATGGAAGGGTTTGATATCTCCTAACATTGTCAAGAAGTTAAAGGTGATTGAGAAGGATGCAGCAGGTTACCAGGCCACACAATGTGATTTCTTCAAGTTTGAGGTTCAACAACTATATGGGGATCGACAACAAGTTGACTTAGAAAGACAGCAGTGTTCTTGTAGGAGGTGGGAGCTGAGTGGCATTCCATGCAAGCACGCAATCTGTGCTATTTGGAAAAAATATGGAAAGGGTGGAGTGTTGGACTATGTGCATCCATGTTATTCGAAAGAGACCTATCTGAAGATATATATTGGATGTATCAACCCCATGGCAGGTGTAGCTGAGTGGCCTATGTGTGACAGAATCCCTCCATTACCACCTTTGTATTCTGCAAAGGTAAGTATTTATCTACTAGTCATCATTTGCCACTGATATATTTTGAGTGTGTATTGTATAAACTTTTTGGTGCTATGCAGGTTGGGAGGCCAAAGAAACTAAGAAAGAAATCAGTTGATGAGTTGACCCATGATGGAAAGACAGTGTCTAGAAACCATATTCAACTACACTGTACTGTATGTAGGTTGGCTGGACATAATGCTAGAAAGTGTCCATCGAATCCAAATAAAAATGTATAATCTGATATACTTTTGCTTTAGAATAGTGTTGAGAAGTATTTATAACGTATCCATGTTTATATTTCCAGATAAAGCCCAAGAAGAGGGTCATTTATGCCACTCACCAAATCAGGACAGCAGCAGCACCACCACAATCAAGTCAGCAGAGTGGAGTAGGGCAGCAACAGCAAAGAGACCAGCCTACTGGATTACAACATCAACACCAGTCTGAAGAAAGGGAACACACTCAGCAAGAAGAGGTGAACCAGAATGCACAGGATGGAGAGCTAAATGAAGAGAACCAAACTGAAACGCAAGCCAAAACCAAGAGAGGAACAAAGATGAGGGAATCCAACAGGAAAAAACCCTATTACACAAGGAGCAAGACAGTGATGAAGTCGAAGTTCTTTGGCAACATGGATGACCCAATAGACATTCAATGACTTCAAGTTTAATTAGATTGGTTTATGGAAAATTTTTTGACTGTAGCATTGGATCTGCTATTTTGGTAGTATGTTTGACTTATGCATGTACATTGGATTGCCTTGGCTATTTTGGTACTGAATCTTTGCAACTGTAATTTAGTTTGTAGTCTGTAGGTTTTGGTGAAGTTTTTGTAATGGTGAATTGTGAAGCAGGCTAAATTGTAATACCAAAACTCAGTTTTTGTCAATGGTGAAGCAGGCTAAATTGTAATGGTCAATACCAAAACTTGCTGAATTGTGATCAATACCATAATTCTTACATTGCAATACCATCATTCTTACATTGTCAAATTGTAATGGTGACTACCAAAACTAGCCACTGCCATTACACATACAGACCACACTGGCCACTGCCACTACACATACATACCATAAATATTATCAGTTTCCTAAACCCTACAACTAACAAAGACTGCAAATATTACAATGAACACTACTACAACCTTGTTCATCCACCTACAACCATAACACACTTTGCCATCGTCTTTATCACCTTTAACGTTCATATTTAATTTGCGTATCTCATCATCTTGTCGGTTGATGCGTTTTAGTAATCCCGGAATAATTTTCTTTGAACGATAGCATATTGGAGGATCATACCAATCAATAAATCCACATCCCACCTTCCTCTGAATTAATTAAAAAAAAAAAACTCAATTACCTTCGAAAATTAACAGAAAAATTTTAACAAAAATTGGAGAGAATAAAATCAGAACTTACATTACCACCGGAGCATTGCCAAAATCTACGACCTGGATTTTCATTTGTCCATGAAGTTCGAATTTTCAGTTGTTCACCACATCTACAATGGATAATTGGAAATCTTTCCCCAAATTCATAGTACTCACTACCATCATTGGAAGAACAAGAGGAATACGAATTCGCCATACCCAGAACGAGTAGATGGGGAATGATGCGTGCCACTGCTTTCTTCTCTTCGTACTGGGTTCGTCTTCTTCGTGCCCCCTGCTCAACAAATCTGCAATGCAATTAGGGTTCTTCGTACAAGGCTATTCGCATATCACCAAATACGGATAATATATAATTTGCAGCTAATTATTTTACACCTAAAAAGACGGAATTACCCCCGCTATTATATTATTTTTTTATTTGAAACATCTTTCCGGCCGATTTCAACCGGCAATTTGGCCGGGAGGACCTAAATTGCTAAAAAAACGATAGTCAAAGGATTAAATTGTTACTTTTAAAAGTCACGTACCCAAATTAACACACCCCCAATAGTCACAGGACCAAAAGTGTAATTTGCTCAATTCTAAATTAGTATTTGATTGCAGTATATTTCTCAAACAAATAATTCTCCAGAGTATCGTGTTATCGATTCACAGGGAAGTGGGCGTATCAAGCACTAGCTACTAATTTATTCTTGTGAAACTAATAATCTTAACGAAAATCATGGATGGTTGATTAAAATAATAAAAAGAAAACAAAGTAGTAGGTTTGTGAAAATAATAGAGAGACTGAGATTCCTGGGATTCAAACATTTAATCACCTAGTGCGAAACTTAAGTGCAATATTAAATCTGGGTTTAAACAAGTTTGAGAATGTAAACAAGGGAAAGAGTTACTCACGTAATCTCTAACCTAAGTGAATATTCACTCCCACAATAAAATAAAGAGTTTACAAGCTATCGAAGAGAGTAAAAGAATATATCAAGTGATTCTTCCAAATCTCCCTAGCTTTTATACAATTATGTACATTTTAGTATACAATTATGTACATTTTTTAACATGAGATTTTTTTTAAAGAAAATTAACCGCCGACATAGGATAGCGAAATTTCAAAAAATAAAAAAAAAAAATCCAAAACGACGTCGTTTTACACCACGGCGCACAATGCAATGCGCGCCCTGGTGCACGATATAAATTGCCGCTTATAATACTTTTTTTCTTGAAATATTTGTGTATTTACATTAGTCCATCAATTATTCTAAAAGTGACAATTTTTTTCTTTTGATATATTAAATGGACATTTTTACTCTTACAATAAATACAGAGTATTTCATTTATTTTCATTCTCTAACAAATTATTGCTCATTAACATGGTTCACTTCGAACTGAATTGGCCACTCACTACAAGAAAAATGCACATAGACAACACTAGAAAGACAATAGTTTTTAACAAAAGTGTTGTCTTTTGTATAAAAGACAACAGTTTGGTCGAAAATCGTTGTCTTTGACGCAACACTTTTGTCAAAGACAACGGTTTTTACTTAACCGTTGTCATAAATGTGTTGTCTTTATGTAGTTTGAGAAATGACAACACTACAAGGAAAACGGTTTTATAAAACCTTTGTCGTTGCACGTTCTTTATTTTTTTAAGACAATTATTTTATGAGTTAATACCTAAAATCGTCCTCGACTATAGTGGTTTTTCTCAATTTCGTCCTAAATGACTTTGGTGACCTAATATCGTCCCAGACTTTTGTGTTTCGCGCAATTTAGTCCCAGACTTTTGTGCTTTTGCTCAATTTAGTCCATCATTTGTTATTCTGTCCATTTGGTGTTAAATAAATAGACAATTAAGTAATTTTAATATTGACATCTCTTTACTCATAGATATGTGAACTGCGAAATCCCTTTTTTTTTACGAATTACTCCCAGAATTACTCCTAAAACTGCGAATATAAAATTTGATTTGCAGGTCCGGGAGTAATTCTGGGTGTAATTCGTACAAGAAAGATGAATTTCGCACTTCACAAGTTGAAAGTAAAGAGAGATCAATATTGACATTACTGAATTGTTCCTTTATTTAACACCAATTTGACGGAATAACAAATGGAGGACGAAATTGAGCGAAACACAAAAGTCTGGGACGATATTAGGTCACCAAAGTCATTTAGGACGAAATTGAGAAAAACCACTATAGTCGAGGACGATTTTGGGTATTAACTCATTATTTTATTTAACTGTTGTCTTTGGTATGTTGTCTTTAGGCGTACTTGAATACACAACACTACAAAGACAACAGTTATAAAAAACCGTTGTCTTTGCGCATTATTATTATTTTTTAAAGGGAAAAGGGTCAAATACACCCTCCAACTTTAGGTAAGAAGTCAATTAGGCCCTCGAACATTTGAAAGTTGAAATTAGATACATTAACATATGAATTTAGTGCATAAAGGCCCAAAATCCTAATAGTGACCTGCAATAGCTTGTCAATAATTTACCGGCGGAGCTCCGACTACTTTCCGGCGAAAAAGTAACCAGCAGGTCGCACAAGACAATTTGGTGATTGTTGAGGGTGGGGCCAATTGCGCCAATTGTCTGAAAGGAAAATAATTGGGTTTATTTTCCAATTGCGCGACGGATGCTGCGAATGGAGGATGGGGCGGTGGTTGACCGCGTGACAATTCCTACTTGGTAAATCGAACACCCCTACCCTCAATTATTCCTTGATTTTTTTCTAAAACAAAATTGCACCCCTTCTCAGACTCAAACCGGATCAACACATGTTTTGCCAATTTTCTCCAGTCCTCCTTCGTAATTGCACAATAGGCTTGCCTTGATGCAATTGCTCTTGATATTTTTTTTTTTCTATTTCCTGGAGTTGCGATTTCTCTGTTGATCTTGAATCCCTGGAAATCTGAAATGATGTTGTGATTAACTGTTGTTTTCTGTTGTCGATTGTGCACTACATCAGCGAACGTGCGAGTGATCGTCTCCGGAAGTCTCCTGCCATTGTTACGTTAGCCATTCAACGCACTCAACTGTTCGCCAAAATCCATCCCCTTCCTCACAAGATTTGATTTTTGTTTCAATAAATAAAACTCTATCTGTTCTTCTCAAATTTCTTCTAAATCCCCAAAAATTTCCGGCGACCTGTTTGTCACGCTTTCGTCAGAAAGCCGTCGGAGCTCCGCGGGTACATTTACCTGCTATTGCAGGTCACTATTAGGGTTTTAGGCCTTTATGCACTAAATTCATATGTTAATGTGTTTAATTGCAACTTTCAAAAGTTCGGGGGCCTAATTGACTTCTTACCTAAAGTTTGAGGGTGTATTTGACCATTTTTCCTTTTTTAAAAGACAACGATTTTATTCATTTGTGTGTTGTCTTTAATAGCACTTGAATACACAACACTACAAAGACAACGATTTTAGTTGCACGTTCTTTTTCACAACACTACAAATATAACCGTGGTCTTTGCGCATTATTATTTTGTAAAGACAACGATTTTATAAAATAAGTTAAAATGTTACCAATAAGGGTTAAACCTAAACCTCCAACATAACACACTATACTCAACCCACCAAGTTAGCTACACCAACTCCTACATATATTGAAGCACGACTCCTTATATTTATCTTACATTTTATATAACCGTTGATGTTTGTGTGTTGTTTTTAAAAACACTACAAAAACAACGGTTTTATAAAATAGGTTAAGATGTTACTAGTAAGGGTCAAACTTGAGACATCTAACCTAGCACACAAGATTCAAGCCACCAAACATCACGAACTCTTATATATTATATTAATGTATGACACCTAATATTTATCTTATATTTTTGGACATCACACAAAATCAAGATTGGTTCTTATTTTTCTCCTATGGTACTATTTTCACATGATCCTTAATATATATATATATATATATATATATATATATATATATATATATATATAAGTTACCAAAATAGCGACCGTTGTTGCTTTCATTGATTCTATATGTAAAATACTTATTGTGCATTCATTAAATATTTTAGAACTAATATAAATTTATAGTTTATTTTATCTTTTAAATTCAACCTGCTTAGATTAAAGGCAAAATTAACATCAACCATGACAACTAGAGCACTTTGTATATAAGATTATCCACTTTTTAAAAAAATGTTTATGCATAAAATGACAAACAATTTAATTCCATAGGTTAATATCAATTCAATAAAAAAACAAAAAAAAAAAAAAAAACAAAAAAAACACACACACACATACACAAAATCAAGTATTACACTCATTCATACTAATTCCAAAAATATGAACTTGAAAGTGAACATGTGCAAAATGAATATAGAAATTGTTGATGAAATTGAGCACATTGCGACACTAGTATTCGGACTACCTGTTGTTACTAGTGCAACAAACATATTATTTGTGGAAACATGTTATGAATTAACTAGTGTAACAACTAATTAACTTGTGCTTTTTAATATGCTTTTTACTTTTATATAAACTACTCCCTATCCTTTTATTTGTGCGGTGCAGAAATGGTAATATATACCTAATAGTTATATTAATTTTAGAATTTTTTATATAATATATACTACTTAAAAATAATGGACATATTATTATCAAATATTTTGGTCATTAATTATATTTTTTTTTGAAGGTCAACCAATGGGTTGTATTCATAGATAAGCTGAAATAGCGTCCGGTGGGATAGTATCCCAATACATAGCTGTGTCATACTGGAAAGCTGTAGTAGCTAAACTATGTGCTAAAATATTCTGCGATCTAGGTATGAAGTTAACATAACAATAATTAAAAGTAGATAAATGATTCCTGCATCCATCAATTGCGTAGCCAACATACGATCTTGTCAGCAGCTGTGGTGTCGTTAAGTAAGTCTGCAGTACCTGGCAATCTATATAAAGCTCCATATTTTGCTCTCCACGCTCGCGTAGCCAAGAAAGAGCCTCCTTAAAAGCATAAGCCTCCGCCATGAGTGGTGAAAAACAATGTGGCAAAGGTGCGGAGTATGCTGAGATAAATTGACCACCCGGTCCCAGTATTACCACTCCAACCGTTGCTGTGTTGTCCGTGTGTCGATATCCAGCATCGACATAGCACTTGGATGGTGGTGGCTGCGTTGGAGTGTGACTGGGTGCGGCATGCTGGGCTGTTCCGGTTTCGGTTCTGCGGGCAGTGGGCTGCGCTGCCGTGGCTGGCATCACGGGACTCGGGTCCATTCTTGGTGCATGGGCATGACGCCATGTCGTAACTTCGGCCTGGGCCGCGGCGAGCACTCGTCGTGGTCTGGGCAAACATGCATCCCAAACCGCACCATTCCGATCTCTCCATACATGATAAATAATTGCAGCTGCGTAGGCAATACCATCAGAATCTAGAACATTTAACATTTCACTAAACCATTCATAAAAAATATTTGTCACAATATTTGTAGATGGAAGGTTAGATAGTGCCCAAATGGTCTTTGTATAGTCACACGAAACCAATGTATGCATAATATCTTCATTTACAACTCCACACATGGCACACACCGGATCAATCTCCACTCTCCTTATAAGCAAGTTTTGGGTAGTAGGAAGAATATCACTCAAAGCCCTCCATAGAAAGGTTTTCCATTTGGGTGGTATTTTCTATTTCCACAATGTGAGCCACTTTGCAAATCCCACATTTGCAATATTTTCATAATTTCCCACCATACACCTATACCCATGTTTAACCGTGTAATTGCCTTTGGGGTCTCCATGCCAATACCACATGTCATCATAGCTTGGGGATACTGGTATTTTTAGAATCCTACTCACATCACCAGGCTCAAAAATATCAGTAAGTAAATCATAATCCCAAGTGCCTGTATCTTGGTTAATTTAGTTGATTACTCTGGCATTACTCAGTTGAAGTGGCATTTCTGTCTGGATCATGGGGTCATCTTTATCTTGCAACCACGGGTGTCCCCACACAAAGGTAGAATCTCCGTTCCCAATTCGTCTTCTCACCCCACTGCAAATTAAACTCTTCGCCGTCATAATGCTCCGCCAACAGTGACTTGGATTGTTTCCTAGAATTGCATCAGTAAAAGACTGGTTAGGATAATATCTGGCCTTATAAACTTTAGAAACCAAAGAGTCTGTATTGGTCAATAGCCTCCAAACTTGCTTTCCCAACAGTGCCACATTGAACGCTCTTAGGTCTTTAAAACCCAATCCACCATACTTCTTGGGTATACATAACTTATCCCAGGCTTTCCAATGGATTTTCTGGTCAGTCCCTGAGCCCCACCAATATCTATTCATCAACTGCTCAATAGCCATACAGATATTAGTAGGTAACAAGAAAACACTCATTGAGAAGGTAGGCATAGCCTGAGCCACACTTTTCAATAAGATTTCTTTTCCTGCCTGCGATAATAGTTTCTTGTTCCAAGATCCTATTCTCTGTCTGATTTTGTCCTCTATATAAGCAAATGCAGCTTTCTTATTCCTTCCAATGAATGATGGCAATCCAAGGTACTTTCCAAAGTTAGGAGCCTGAACCACACCCAAAACTTTACTTTCCAAAGTTAGGAGCCTGAACCACACCCAAAACTTGTGCCACATTTTCCTTGATCTCCTCTGTTGTATTCTTACTGTAGCATATACTGGATTTATGGTAATTAACAGCTTGCCCAGACATACTTTCATATAGAGCTAGACATCCTTTAATTTCATTTGCCTCCTGCACAGTTGCTTTAAAAAATAATAAGCTATCATCAGCAAAGAAAAGATGGGAGATAGGCGGAGCACCCCTTGCTACTCTGCATCCATGTATTAAGCTCATTTCTTGTGCCTGTTGTAATAACATAGAGAGACCTTCAGCACAGATTATAAACAGGTAGGGCGATAATGGATCCCCTGTCTTAAACCCCTGGTTGGTATTAGTGAGTCACTCCGTGTCCCATTTACCAGGAAATTATAGGACACCGTCGTAACACACGTCATAATAAGTTCAATCCACTTGTCATTAAACCCGAGTGCCATCATCATGCCTTTTAAAAATGGCCATTCCATCCGATCATAAGCTTTTGCCATATCTAATTTTAAGGCACCCCAACCAACCACACCACACTGTTTCCTGTTCAAATAATGGCCTACCTCTGAGGCAATCAAAATATTATCCGTTATCAACCTGCCTGGTATAAAAGCACTCTGGGATTCAGATATAATACTATCCATTAGGGGTTTCATCCTCCGGGTTATCATTTTGGCCATAATTCTATAAATGACATTACTAAGCGCTATTGGTCTCAAATCAGTGACCTGTTCAGGGACATCTTTCTTAGGAATTAATACAACATCGGTATTATTCAAACCTGGTGGCAATGAGTTTGTATTCAGACAGTCTACAACAAAAGCCGAGATATCCCCTCCTACAATATCCCAAAAACTTTGATAAAAGCCCGGGTTCATCCCATCCGGCCCTGGCGCCTTATCGGGATACATTTCAAACAGAGCATCTTTCACCTCACCAACCTCAAAGGGTCGCATTAATACCTCATTCTGTGCCCGAGTGACTCGTGGCGTAACATTGTTATAGATCAGATCACCGCTTACAGGATTATTAGTTGTAAAAATGCGTTTAAAATAATCCAGAACTACACCCGCCATATCATCCCCTTCCATCCATTCACCACTATCATTCATAATTTTAACTAGAGTATTCTTATTCCTTCGGTTCGAGGCATACCTGTGATAAAACTTCGTGTTGGCATCCGCATCCTTGAGCCAGTGCTGTTTGGCTCTCTGCTTCCAGTATGCATCCTCCTGCATCTCCACTCGGCATAGATCCGCTTCCAATCGGTTATACTCCTCCAGGGATGCATGATCAATACATCCCTTGAGTTGATCCTGCCTCCTCCGGAGCTGCTCAATCTTTTCCCCGAACTTATGGTACCGGTCCCCCCCCCCCCCATCGGGTTAACCGGTTCCCACAATGTGCAATACAGCCTTGTGCTCCCCTATCTCTTCCCTCCTCCCATGACTCAGCCACTACCGCTCTACATCCCTCATCATAGAGCCACGCCATCTCAAAACGAAACCTTCGGCCCCCAGCCCTCCTACCCCCATATTGCCGAATCCCCATGAAGATAGCTGAGTGGTCAGACCGTCTAGTCCATTGATTTGCAACTGTGGCCCCATTCACAATATCCCTCCAGCGGTTAGTGACCAGTACCTTATCCAATTTTTCCTGAATCCATCCAGGAGTGCCTTTGCCCGTTTGCCATGTGAACTGATTACCACTCATTGGTAACTGTGCCAAACCACACTGATCCATAGTCTCTCCAAAGCCACGTAACAGACTGTTCGGGTGTGGATTTCCTCCCCTCTTCTCATACTGGTACAAGAGATCATTAAAGTCGCCAATCACAACCCAGGGTAGCTCAGATTGTGTTGCCAACTGTTTCAATAGATCCCATGACTCAGTCCTCCGTGTTCGTTCTGGATAGCCGTAGTAACAAGTCATTCTCCAGTTTGGAAAACCACTTATACTCACCTCCACATCAATGTGTGTCTTCGAGTAACCCAGTAATCTTGCAGTATTGTTCTTCCTCCAAAGTAATGCCAATCCACCACTGCGGCCTGTATTATTAACATAAAACAGACCCTCGTAACCAATTTTAACGCGAACTCGTTCTGCATGTATTCGTGCTACTTTCGTTTCCATCAAAAATACAAAATCCGGCTTCTTCTTGGACACCATGTCCACAACTGCACGAACTGTCCGTGGATTGCCCAAGCCACGACAGTTCCAACTCAGAGTACTCATTGTTGTGGGCGGGTCTGGGAACCAGAGCCCGCCTGATGCAAGTTTTTTGAGCTATCTGCCATACTAGTATCCGTATCTGCCAGCTGTCTACTATCCTGCTTGCGACGCTTAGCCAATGCCGTTACCCCATCCTCCTCCTCCTCCTCACGGCCCTGTACCCCTATCGGTTTTTCCGGCGCCACCCTCACAGGTTCCAGGCGGATCGGTGGCTCATCCTCGGTTAGTAGCCATGATTCACCGACTGGCCGTGGTCCTCTTGCCTGCCCAGCTCGCATCCACACCCCATAAGGATATTGTTCAGCAGTCAACGTCGAGTTTCTAGCTTTCAAGCAGAACTTTTCCGAGTGCCCCAAAAGTCCACAGAAAAAGCAAAAAGTATGTAGTCTCTCATATTTGAAATTCACCCACCCCCAAGTCTTGTCCCGGCGAATCAATTTCATCCTCCTCTTCAGGGGCTTATCCACAGACATACAAACCCTAATTCGGTAGAAAGTTTTGGGTGGCCCCTTCATCTGCCTCTCATCAATCTTTAAGAATTTTCCCAAAAAATTCCCTGTCTGTTCAAGTACCGGCACCGTATTATAACCAACCGGCAGGTTGTACACCTGCACCCATAAATCCACTGTATCAAGCATTATATAAAATAATTATAGATATAAATGTAAGAATTTAAAATTATAATAATGGATTGGAAAATAACTAAATAACCAAAACAAGAAGGGAGATAAAAAAAAAAAAAAATTCCGTTGCCAGGATTCGAACCCGGATTCAAGAATGACTTTTGAATTTAGCCAGTGCTACAGCGGAGCCAAATGCGTTTGTTAAGCCGATTTTATTTCTATTATAACGAGAAGTCTACACATAAGGAATGCAAAAAATTAAGATCAGAAATCCGCAAGCAAGGTTCGAGCCGTATTCTATAATTTATGAATAAACCTGTATTAAAGTAAAGGCAGTTAGTATTTTGCAGAAAATTATGTAGTGGACCCAGGTCCACCTATCTTGGTTAAAACGACGCCGACTGAATTAAAAAAAGTTACTTCAGTCCTTGTCGTTATCTTTCTGTTTGTATTCAGAATTCGTTCCTCTACATTGACACTTTTTGAACTCTATATTCACAATTTTAGAACTGAATATTCACAATTTTAGATCTCAATATACAAATTTACAGAACTCAATATTCACAATTGCAGAACTCTATATCCAGAATTACATAATTCTATATCACAATTTCATAACTCTATATTCACAATTTCGCTATAGTCAAGGGATTATTTCGATAATTAACTATAGTTTTCACCACCACCACCACCACCACCACCACCACCACCACCACCACCACCACCACCACCACCACCACCACCACCACCACCACCACCACCACCACCACCACCACCACCACCACCACCACCACCACCACCACCACCACCACCACCACCACCACCACCACCACCACCACCACCACCACCACCACCACCACCACCACCACCACCACCACCACCACCACCACCACCACCACCACCACCACCACGGTTGTACAGGAAGACTAGCAAATATTGCTCAACAAAAGGTTGTGAAATAAAGTGTTATAAAAGTTGTTCAAATGAAGAAAGGGAAAATGAAGAAATTAGCACCATTCTGCTGCTCTCCAAGTCCCTGAGTTTTCTAAGTCTCCGAAGATTCAAAATATCACAAGAAAAAGTTTAATTCTCACACCAGAAATTCCTCGTGCAAGATATCATTAAAGTTCTGGGTTACCACAATTTGTACAACATGAAGAAAATGAGACCCACCCTTACTTGAGTTCAAGCAGAATATTTCTGTATCATCAACAATATTCTTTTTCTTTTCATATAATTTATCATTACCATTGACAATATGTAATTTTTTTTATTATATTTCTTTATATTATGAATGACAAGTATTTGTTACAATTGATTTTTTCTTAAATTGGATGTGTATATATAGTTTGTTTGTGGTTGTAATGCAAATTTGAATCTAGAGATTTACAAGAAAAAAAAAATATAATGTAATGAGGATCATTAAAAAAAAAAAAAAAAAAAAGAATTTAAAGAGGATCAAAAAATAAAATATAAAAAAAAACAATAAAATTTTAGTGATTTTTTGAAAATATCACAATTATTATATAATAAAAATATTTCTAAAATAAAAATATAATTTAGCTGTGGTTTTCAAACCGCCGCTAATATTCAAATTAAACATTTGCTGACAGATCAAAACCGCCCCTAAAACTTAAACAAAATATCCAATTTTAGTGGTGGTTCAAAACCGCCGCTAAATGCTTCGCGACACACTATTTAGACATGGTTGAATAACCGCCGCTAAATACAATAGTGGTGGTTTGTAACCGCCGCTAAACGTATAAAAAAAAATAGCCGCTAAATGCCATATTTGGTGTAGTGTAGACTTTTATACAGTCTTGCAATGTTTTAAAAATTTTTGAATGACTCTATAATAGTCCATAAAAGTTTATTAAAATCTATTATTTTAAAAGTCTTTAAAACTCTACAAAAGTCATGATTGAATACACCCCCCTTAGAAGTGGAGAGTTTTGATTCTTTGAACTAAAAATGATTGAAAAAGTATAAAACACATACTTGTAAAAAATGATTAGTTTTTTAAAGCAACTGGTTGAAAATTGGAAATTTGACCAGATTATTCAGTAACAAATTTTTTAAAAATTATTCACAACAAAACATTAAATTAATTTAATAATATGTTGGATCTCAGCGCTGCACTATGCTCACTTCCCAGTCAAGTATGCTTAACCACAGAGTTCTATGTTACCTAGTTGCCATATCCTACTCAAAACAAATTGATGATAAGTAGGCGGACATTAACCGTTTAATCACATATCTCCATGATAAGCCATAGCGTCACGTCTCGAATCGAGCAGGGACTGAACTCGGTCAATCCGGTCGACGCCCAACATAATAAATACCATATTTGTTTATAAATGTTTAGATAACCAACGATTAGTATTGTTGTATTGCCACTAGAAAGTTTTCATACAAACATATTTTAGTATATGCACTATACATATAACCTAATGATAAAATCAAAATTATTGATACTCTTATTTTTCTTTGTTCCCTCCTTGCTCCATCTTTTAAGTTTCTAAGTATATGCACTATACATCGAAATCAATGATAAAAAACAAAATTATTTATAGACTTATTTTTCTTTCTCCTCCCTGCTCCATCTTTTAAGTTTCTAAATACCTTTTGATGGAGCAATGGGGTCCTATGGCCTAGTTGGCCATAGTCGCTCAATAGACCCGTGAAGGTGGGAACCTACCTATTGACATAGGGTTGGGCTTGAGTATATGAGGTGAAGTGATAATTATTTAGGCTAAAAAGGGTTAGGAAGGCATGGTGAAGAAGGGGGGAATTGAAGGTGGGCTCATGGTGAAGGAGAGGGGTACAACCGATCGACGACTAGTCGGTTGGAAAGCTCGTAATTCACTCCTATACGATGAACTGTGATCAGTGAGAGATGAGTTGGCCCTACAATCCTGTATTATTTGAATCTCATTCCTTTTTAGGGATGAGTATTATGAATGCCACGAGGAGTTGTTCTGAAACTTCTCAGTGTTCAATGTTGAGTTAACAAATCTAGTAATTGATCTACCTACCACCTCCTAGTATTTTTGGTAGAAATATTATTGCAAAAATCGCGCATAGGCGCTCGGCCACCGCCGCGAAGAAGGCCGGAATCGGCCTCCTCCGCGGCCGGCCGGCTAGGCGGTCTAGGCGGCCGCCTAGACGGCCGCCTAGACGGCTGAACCGGCGCTTTAATAATTTTTTTTTTTTTATTTTTGCGTTTTAAATTGCGAAAAGTTCGGGAAGGCATAACTTTTGACTCGGTTGTTCGTTTTGGACAATTTTTCTTTCAAATCGCGTATTTTTTCGAGATCTATCCACCGCAAACGGCCAAAGGCAGTTTGGTCCACTAATTTCTCAAAAAAATGCTTCTTTAGCTCTTAATTTTAGTTTTTTATGTATTTAGATGGTTTAAACAATCTTTTGAACAATTTTACAACCACTTTCGTAGATAGTTTCTAAGAAATAACTATGGAAACCTTATGTTTTATTACTAAATTTTAAAAATTTTTAATTTTTAATTTCATTTTTAATTAAAAAAATAAAAAATAAAAAAATCAGCGCCTAGGCGCCCCCTTGCCGCCTAGGGGGCGCCTAACGTTTTTTGCAACATTGGGTAGAAAACTGTAAATTTTTTATCTTATTATACTTTTTTAACGAGTGTGAATTGAGTTTGTATTCGTTGTGAGAACTTAACATATTGCAGTTTCGGAAGAATTGAAGTCGGGATTGAAAGTTATGCAAATGATGTATCTACAACACTTGATGCCGCAAGTTTGGACACAATAGTTTAACTAGATGTGAATATTAAAAGTATCACATCGGAAGTAACTCAAACTACCCCAATAAAAGGATTACATCCTTCAAGTAGAATTTTGGACATTAATAGAGAAGTAGTTGTGGGAGTGGAGTTTAAGGATAGATTGGTAGAGGTAGATCTTCAATAATCATTCAATTAACTTCGCAAGATTAGAGCTCATCTTGAAGAAAGGGTTAGGTTATCTCTTGCTAGGAGTGAAAAAGAAGTTGGATAGCCTTGATCAAAAGAACCTCTGAACCTCATTTTCATTATGTAACAGTTGATATATATACATATGCATTAAGAAAACGGTAGAAATTATGGAAGCCAGAAATCAGGATAATAGCAACAAATTAAAACAATTATATTTACAACAACAATAATATAATATAATGTTTCAATATTATTTAATTACTCGACGACATTATGTAAAATTTATAATTTATATAATTAATGATTATATTTTATAAATAGCCCATCCGTCCATCTAATGTATTGGGCCCTTCTATTTCACTAGTTAGTAACTAAATAACCATAAATAACCAAAACAAGAAGGGAGATATAAAAATTCCGCTGCCAGGAATCGAACACGGATTCAACAATGATTTTGAATTTAGCCAGTGTTACAGTGGAGCCAATTGTGTTTGTTAATCCGATTTTATTTATTATAGCCAGTGTCAGACAAGCTCATTTCATCTCAATATATTTCTCCCTCTGAAACCTTTCTAGATCTCTCTTCTCATAGCTCTTCCGCCTTCTCTACCACGTAAATCTTTCCACCATTCCTTCTTGCCTTCTCTTCACTATTGCCATATTTTCATTTTTTTTTCTTATTGGAGCTATTCTCGCCATTCTGCCGCCGCCGTGCCACCAGCTGCCGCCGTCGCATCTCAACATACTTCTTTCAGGTATCAAAGCCCTTCCCCACTCTTTGTTATGTTGCAAATTGTAATTTATGACCTCCAATTAAACTTAGTTGAATACCAAACAATTGAATCGTAACTAAGTGATTTGAAATTTTTAGTAGTCGGATTACTGGTTTCAAAACAATTGAAAATGGTAACTAAGTAATTTGAAATTTCTAGCATTCAGATTACTCATTCCTTGTAGTAGATTACAATAAACCCTATACAAGCCTTAATTTATTGCCACTTCTCCAGTCATCTTCTTAACTTTTTCATTTTTAGTTATTGTGTTTGTTCTGCAGACCAAGGTTATATGGTAAGCCTATATGTTCTTTTGTTTTGATTGACTAAACCATTCAAGTTATGCATAATATATTTTTACTATCGATCCTCACCTCAAAAGAGATTGTTTGTTTAACATTTGACAAAACCAAGTAAAGAGATGAATCTGACCTTTCTCTGTTGTATGCTAGACTTATGATGCTATTGTTGGTGACGTAAAAATCCTAGCCCGCAGACTGATCAAAAGACATGGAGTTCACACGGTCATATATAGAGTCACGCTTGACAATGATAATTCTTGTGGAGTATGATAAATCTAAGAAAGCATGGATGTTTCTGAAGCCTTTCACTAGGAACACGTGGGTAGTAACTTCAGCCATCCTATTCTACACAATTTTCGCCATTTGGTTCTTGGAGCATCAGTCTAATGCAGAATTCAGAGGGCCCCAGAGCAATCAGCTTGAAACCTTTAACTTATTCTATGACTTCAAAATTTCTTCTTCTTCTTTTTATTTTTTTTTCCCTTTTGGTTATTAAAAATCATGGATATTGTTTTTATTTTATTCTTTCCTATTCTTTGCAGATCGTGTATACTAAAGTTTGCTTGCTATAGAGGTAAATTTTTATCCTAATTGCTGAAGTGATTATGCCAATGAGAAAAAAAGAATAGTTTTGTCTTTTCTCTGTTACTTGCATCAGTTGACATCATCTTAAATTCTATAGGTTGAGATGATCTAGGTATATTTTAATACATTACTATGTGTTAACACATTTTATACATTTGTCTTCTTATACATGTAAATTGTCTAATTAATTTATTTTGTTTGATGTGCAGGTATGCCAAGATTTAAAAGGTTCATAGGTAAGAGTCGACCAAGGTACAAAAGTTTGAATATATCAAACAAATTAATTTAGTTCCATTTGTTGACCGATGAATATGGTTGTAACAGGGACCTTAACTCCTCTAAAGGATGTAACGGGCATTCTAAGGCTACCCAATGCAAGTTTTTGTTAATGGTACTGAGTAGCACTTCTGCGAACAATGCAGCAGGTATATATGCGCTTATTCTTTATGCAATACATAGGCATTCATATCCTCTATCATGGCATGTGCAATATAATGAACTTTTATCATACAGGTTTCATATGGTGGCAGAATTTGATGACAAAAAGCACAGTTGCCACAAGCGCCTTGCATAGCACAATGAATGCAGACAGAAAGCCTCTGAACCTAACAAATTCATTGGGGTAACCAAGATTCTTCAGTCTTGTTCTAATCTTGTCTTTGTTTTAGCATATTTGTTATGATTTGATCTGCAATTGTTAATTCATTCATGTCGCAGGGGTTGTAGCAAGGTTCTTAGATATTGCTTTCCCAAAGGCTGCCAATGCTATTCAACTTTAATTTTCTACAGAACATTCTATACTTCTATACTTACTGTCACTTCTATTTGATGGTACATCACAATCTCAAGCAAATAATATATATTCTAAAATTGTTTGGTGTAGTGGCATGTGCATAAGAACTTTTTGGTATCAATTTAAAAAATTCTTTGAAGCTTTTTGGTATAGAACTTTTGTTTTGATCCTCAAAAATGCTGAGGCATTGTGTATATTATGTTAGGGAGCAAACTTCAGGGATCTGCCTGGTGTTAGTGTTGTAGACAATAAAGTGCAATGGGATCCAAATGTAGAGAGGGTGTACTTGAGCTCACTTTTCTTCCTTCAGCAATTCCCTTAGCTGTTATAATTGACTAAATTCATTCTTTAACTTACAGGTTCTTGATTATGCAATGTCATTTGTGGGTGGAACTTCCTCAAAGTATGCAGTAGTAGTTCACCACCACCATTTAGGTGCTAATACTTCTATGTTAATTTATATAGGCCAGGTATTTCATTTGTCTTAAAAGAAAGCCTGTTTTCAATAATTATTTGAAAAAATTGAGTTGATATTATTTGTTGGTTGTACAGGAAGACTAGCAAATATTGCTCAACAAAAGATTGTGAAATAAAGTGTTATATAAGTTGTTCAAATGAAGAAAGGGAAATTGAAGAAATTAGCACCGCTCTGCTGCTCTCCAAGTCCCTGAGTTGTCTGAGTCTCCGAAGATTCAAAATATCACAAGAAAAAGTTTAATTCTCACACCAGAAATCCCTCGTGCAAGATATCATTAAAAGTTCTGGGTTACCACAAACTGCACAACATGAAGAAAATGAGACCCACCCTCACTTGATCGAGTTCAAGCAGAATATTTCTGTATCATCAACAATATTCTTTTTCTTTGCATATAATTTATCATTACCATCGACATTATGTATTTTTTTTTTATATTTATTTATATTATGAATGACAAGTATTTGTTACAGTTGATTTTTTCTTAAATTGGATGTGTATATATAGTTTGTTTGTGGTTGTAATGCAAATTTGAATCTAGAGATTTGCAAGAAAAAATATATATAATTGATTGAGGATCATAAAAATACAAAATAAATAATTTAAAGAGGATCAAAAAATAAAATATAAAAAAACAATAAAATTTTAGTGGTTTTTTGAAAATATCACAATTATTATATAATAAAAATATTTTAAAAATAAAAATATAATTTAGCAGCGGTTTGTTTAAAATAATAAATTAAATTAAACATTTGCTGACAGATCAAAATCGTCTCTAAAACTTAAACAAAAATATCCAATTTTAGAGGCGGTTCAAAACCGCCGCTAAATGATTCGCGACACACTATTTAGACACAGTTGAACAACCGCCGCTAAATACAATAGTGCCGGTTTGTAACCGCCGCTAAACGTAAAAAAAAAAAAAACCGTCACTAAATGTCATATTTGGTGTAGTGTAGACTTTTATACAGTCTTGCAAAGTTTTAAAAAGTTTTGAATGACTCAATAAAAGTCAATAAAAGTTTATTAAAATCTATTATTTTAAAAGTCTTTAAAACTCTACAAAAGCCATGATTGAATACAAACTCCCTTAGGGGTGGAGAGTTTTGATTCTTTGACCTAAAAATGGAGTTTTTACCCATTTTGGTCCCTTGACTATGACTCATTTCAATTTTGCATTCCGACTTTTAATTGCACCCAATGTGGTCCCTTGACTTTAAAAAATTACCCCAATTTGGTCCTCCGTTACCTTAAGTGCCTAATTAAAAGCTATTAAATCCTTCACCCATATATAAAGAGGAGTTGGGCAGTAGAGTTTTACACACAGAAAAATAGAACAAGAAAGTTCTTCTTTTAGCTTCAAAACCTCTCTGCTTCTACTCTTTCTTTATCTATACTGTGTTCATAACCGTGTCTTGCTCGCCGGATTCCTTGTTTGAGTGCTCAAACATTGAATCACTAGCAAGTTTTATCCTGGGAAGCCTAGGCCACAACGCTCCTAGCATCTTTGGGAGGTGGCAAATAAGGTTTTAAGGAAAGAGTGCTCACTTGACTCTTGCAAAAACCCAACACCAAACACTAGCCAAATTTCTTCATCTTTTCTTCCCTTCTTTCCAGAAAATAATAGTCAATTTTATTTGATTATTATTTGTTATCCTACCAACGGTTCCTACATTATATTTTATTATTATAGCTCAATCTCTATCTCGATATATATATATATATATATATATATATATATATATATATAAAAGCATAATGAAGTATGAAAAAAAAGTTTATTGTGTTCAAATTTATTGGTAAAGTTTTATATATTAAAGCATAATGAAGTATGGAAAAAAGTTTATTGTGTTTCAAATTTATTGGTTAAGTTTTATATTTAATATAATTTGTGTATATATTCATTTAAACCTCAATTATAATTAATTTGACTCCACATATATAAAGAGGAGAAATCTATATCTATTTGGGGTAAGAAATCTATATCTATACTATATATAAAAAGAAAATCCAACTTTAACTTCACGCTCAATTCCTAAAAAATCTCACTTTCTAATAAAATATATTGTTTACTACTTTTCTATTAGTACTATAATTCTAGGTTAAAATTACCATTCTAATATTATAAAATTGTGTAATACAATTTCTAATAGAATATATTGTTTCATACTTTCATATTCGTACTATAATTCTACATTAAAATTCATATTTGATTCCACATCAAAAATGTTTGAAAAGAGGAGTTCTTGAACTCCTCTATATAAGTGGCGCAATGCTCCTCTTCCAAACATAATTGCTTGCCCGTCAATGTGGCCGGACAAGTATTGAGAAGTCAAAATGCTCTTATTTAAGAAGCCTTAGCTTAAAGGCTTCTTATTTTAGTTTTTTTTTTTTTTTTTTTTTTTCAGAAAATATTTTTCTTTTTAATGTTTGCCTGCATAGTAGAAAATTGTCTAAAAGAAAATTTATATTATTATTATTATTATTATTATTATTATTATTATTATTATTATTATTATTATTATTATTATGTAATAATGTAATAATAAAATAAAATTTATACTTAGTATATATAAAAACAAAATTCTGAACTTTAACTTCCCACCCAATTCCTAAAAAATCTAGCTTTTAATAAAATATATTATTTTCTACTTCCTATTCGTACTTTAATTCTAGGTTAAAATTTCTATTCTAATATTATAAATAGTGTAATACAATTCGTAATAGAATATATTGTTTCATATACTTTCCAATTCGTACTATAATTCTACATTAAAATTCTTATTCGTAATAAAATAGAACAATCTATATCTATATATAATATATATAATTAAAAGTAAAATCCTCCTTCTAGCATTTTCCCGGCCAAACTCATTATATTGGTCAAATTATTTAATTATGGTAAATTATGGAATAATTACTGATGGTAATAGAAATCATAGAAAAATATAAAATACACGAACATTTAATTATGATTATATTATTATTGTGTCTCACGGAGTAGAATACAAGAATATTTAATTATGGTTATATTCTTCCAAAAGTTGAACCCCAACCCTAAGGGCCATAATTATGGTTATATTATTATTGTGCCTCACGGTCATTATATACTAACAGAACTTAACAAAAAATAATAATAATAATAATAATAATAATAATAATAATAATAATAATAATATATGTGGTAATAATAATATCTAAAAGTAATCAAGTGTTAATAATAATAATAAGAAGAATATTAACGTAAGAATTATAACATAGAATAAAACGTAATAATTTATATATATATATATATATATATATATATATATATATATATATATATATATACTTATATAAATCTAAGTCTATATAAGTCTATATCGTTCAAGTATAATTAAAACCCTATATAATAATAATGTAATACTCCGTAATAAAATAAAATTACAATAATAATAATAATAATAATAATAATAATAATAATAATAATAATAATAATAATAATCCAAACAAAACTACATACAAAATAAAATTTAAAAAAAAAAAAAAAAAAAAAAAAAAAAAAAAAAAAAACAGACAAAGGACTCCCCTTTGTAAATGATTTGAGATTATTTTGATCCCACATCGAAAATGTTTGGAAAGATGAGCTCTTGAGGTCCTCTATATGAGAGGAGCAATTGCTCCTCTTACAAATATAATTGCTTGCCCATCAATGTGGGCAAGTAATGAGAATCCAAAATGCTCTTATTTGAGAAGCCTTAGCTTAATGACTTCTTATTTTAGTTTTTTTTTTTTTAATTAATTAGTTTATAGTTTATTAGTTTATTTATTATTAAGGGGTTTGGGAAAGATTAACCCAAAATATATATGTGTTGTTTTAGTTTTTAGCAGTTTGAATTAAATTGCTAAGTTATTAAATAATATTTTTTGTGTTTTGATTAAAGACAAAATGTTAAAATGGCGAATTTGTCAATAATCAAACAAGGTCATTATCTAATAATTATTATGGCATTTAACAAATTAATTGTATAGATATTAGAGTTCGTTTGGAAAGTAGAAAAATGATTTCTGGAAAATATTTTTCTTTTTAATTTTTGGTTGCAGAGCAGAAAATCGTCTAAAAGCAAATTTATATTATTATTATTATTATTATTATTATTATTATCATTATTATTATTATTGTGTAATAATAAAATAAAATTACAATAATAATAATAATATTAAGAGTAAATACCCAAAATGGTCCTTCGACTATAGCTAAATTCACAAATTGGTCATCGACTTTCAATTTCAACCAATTAAGTCCTTAACTTTGTAATTTTTACACAATTTGGTCCTCTGTTTATTTGACCGTTTGTTAACTGTGATTTTTGAGGATATATATGTAATTTCATGGTCCATCGTCGATTTTTTAAGGTTCTGGTTGCATTTTCAGACCGTACTGTTACATTTGAATCCACCCGGTCGCCTTTCTTCATCCTCACTTTGGATTCAATGTAGTTGAGTTCGTACCCGAGCGAAGAAGACAACGTGTTTCCGAACCAGTGCAACGTCATCCTGGAGGCCTCCACGTGCTCCGACGAGAGCTGAAGGTTCTTCTGGAGATCGTCGATCACGGTCAACAAACGGTTAAATAGATGGAGGACCAAATCGTGTCAAAATTATAAAGTTAAGGACTTAATTGGTTGAAATTGAAAGTCGAGGACCAATTTGTGAATTTAGCTATAGTCGAGGGACCATTTTATGTATTTACTCTAATATTAATAATTAATAATATAATAATAATTAAAACAAAACTATATACAAAATAAAAATAAAATTAAAAAAAAAAAAAAAAAAAAAGAAGAAGACAAAGGGGAACCACGGGCCCCCCTTCGTAGATCATTTTGATCACACGTC